AAAGGAAATAAAGAAGTCAATTTGTTATTATTTGCAGGTGACATGATACTCTATTTTTAAGTCACCAAGAACTCCCCCAAAAGTCTTCTAGACTTAATAACCAGTTTCAGTAAAGTAGCTGGATAGAATGTCAACATACAAAAATCAATAGCTTGCCTGTAAACAAAAAAGAGACTCACTGAGAGAGATATGGGACAAACGATTCCATTCCCAATAGCATCCAAAAGAAATGAAATACCTAGGAGTAAACCTAACAAGATAAATCAAAGACCTCTACTATGAAAACTGTAGCAATCTGAAAAAGTGGGATCGAAAATGTTATCAGAAAATGGAAAGATGTCCTTTGCTCCTGGGTAGGAAGAATCAACACAGTGAAAAAGGCCATACTTCCACAACTACTATATAGACAAAATGCAATCTCAATTGAAATTCCAGCAACACTGCATGGACCTTTAGAAAAAAAATCCAAAAATTCATTTGGAACAAGAAGAGACCTAGAATATGAAAAGCAATTCGAGGCAATAAAGACATGGTAGGGGGTATCACAATCCTCAACTTGAAACTTTTCTACAAAGCTACTGTGATAGAAAATAGCATCATACTGGTAAAGAAACAGACCCGAGGAACAGTGGAACAGATTAGAAGATGCAGAAACATCTCCAGACACACTCAGCCACCTCACCTTCCAAAAATGAGCCAACCATCCTTACTGGAGGAAGGATAGCCTCATTAATACATGGTGCCAGAAAAACTGGGTTTCAACTTGCCAAAGATTAAAACTAGAGCTAAATCTCTCACTATGCACTAAACCAAAATTAAAATGGATTAAAGATCGAAATAATAAAAAAATTAAACAACCTGGAAGAGAGGTTAGATAGAACTCTTGCGGACACTGGCCCAGAAAACGATTTTATGAACAAAACCTCAGTTGCCCGTGAGCTGGCACAAACCACTAATAAGTGGGATCTCTTCTTATTAAAAAGCTTCTGCATAACAAAAGAAACCACCAACAGTGTGAAGAGGAAACCCACAATGTGAAATAGGAAAAAAAGTGGCAAAGGGGAAGTGGAAGTGGGAGAGGTAGGGGAAAGGAAAGAAGTGAATGGAGTTAATATGAGAAAATGAATTAAAAAAAAGGAAACAAAGTCTTTGTAAATAGTGAGGGGTGGTGGGGTTGAAGGAAGGGTAGGGGATGGGGAAAAAATAAGAACCAAGATACATTACATAAAGTTACAAATTTCCAATGATGAATGTCTTTATATTGTATACCTAAAATTTACCATTAAAATTAATTTTTAAAAATTCTGAATGAGTCTCAGCCATAAAGAATGAGAAAATAGATTCATTCATAGGAAAATGAATACATATTGAAGATATACTCCTAAGTGAAATAAATAAGTCACACATGTGTAAATACCAAATAGTTTCCCTGGTGTGAATAATCTGCAACAATGCATAAGATTCTAATAAGATTACTGACATTTAGAAATGGGAAGTTGTTTGTAGATGGGGAGGGGAGGAGGGGGTGAAGGGAGGGCAGAGGTAAGGGGAAAAAATGAGAATCAAGACTTGCCATGTAGAGGTACATGATCCCAACAATGAATGTAACTGTACTGTATCCCTAAAATGTACCAATAAACTCAATAAAATTAAAAAAAATTCTGAATGAAACATTGCAATTTAAAACATAATTTTATAGTACAATCTTTGGATTTCATAAAGATTTCCACTGGCCTACTATATGGCAAAAAAAAAAAAAACAAACTGGTAGTTCCGGTGCCAACATTTCACCATGATGGAAATATTGATAGGGAAACACTGACAAAAAGAAAGGCTGAGTTGGAAACTTTCTATAACAAAAGCAAAGGCCAAGTTGATGTTACACATGTGTTATGCAGTGACTATTGTGTCACTCAAAACACAAAGCATTTGCCAAAGCTTGTGTTTTACTTGATCCTAAATATGTGTGGCATAAACAGTTTCATAGTTTACATAGAAAATAACAAGTATAAAATACAATGGAGAAATTTTCTTAAGGGATTGGGATAGGAACTCACAACAGATCATTTACAGCAGAGAAAAAACAAAATGTTCCTACCCGGGGATTACACAAAAAACTGTGGAGCACACTGATGAGATGACAGGTCCATCATCCCAAAGACATACTACAACAACAGGAAAACCAAAACATTGTGTGCTACAAGAAAGGACAGGAGAACAAAACATGTGTTATTCAGTGTAAGTGATACTTGTGTATGGACCATGCAGTTTTCATGTGTGAAAACTGCCGTGGGTGTGAAAGTTGAAGAAAAGTTTACTTCAGTGGTAGTTTTTCTTTGTATTTACATTGTAGTTCACATAGGTTTTATTTCTGATATTATATTTTAGGTTTTGTAAAAGGAAGTACATAGCTGATGTGAAAATGTTGATGTCTATTCTAAGCACTCATTACATATTTGATATTTTATTTTATTGATATTTTATTTTCCTGCTATAAGTGCATGTTGTACAATATAGTAGGAAGCTCTTGAAAAAAACAGAAAGGGGAGATGACAAGAATGGCCTACCACTCCTAATGATATAATGGAAAATGTGAAATAGGAAGAAAGGGGCTAAAGGTGTAGGGAAAGTGGGAAGGGTAGGGGAAAGGTAATAAGGGAGAGGAAAAATATGAGAAAATGAAGAAATGTAAATGAAGTGTTGTAAATGGGGAGGGAGGAAGGGAGATGGGAGGGCAGGGGTACTGGGAAAAATGAGAACCAAGACCTGTCATGTAAAGGTACAAGATCCCAATGATGAATGTAACTGTACTGTATGCCTAAAATGCACTAATAAACTCAATGAGGAAAAAAAAAAGAATAGCCTACCACATAGGATAGGAAAGCTAAGCACATGTACTGCCACTGTAAGTGAGATGTGTGCGTGAAATATGCAGCCGTCATGTGTGAAGACTGCCTTGGGTGTGACAATTGAAGGAAACATTATTTTATTGTAGAATTCTATCGCTATTTTCTTTTTCTATTAAATTTATTGGTAAATTTTAGGTATAGGAGACAGTTACATTCATCATTGGGATCTTGTAACTTTACATGACAGATCTTGGTTCTCATTTTTCCCCATTCCAAAGCCCTCCCTTCTCCCCCTCCACCCTTCCCCTATTTACAAAGATTTTGTTTCCAAGTCTTTCATTTTCTCATATTTTTTCTTTTCCCTTCCTCTTTGTTTTTTTGTTTATATTTTATTTTATTTTTATTTTTTAAATATTTTGGTTCATTTTAGATACATAATATGTTTACATTCATCATTGGGATCTTCTACCTTTACATGATATATCTTGGTTCTTATTTTTTCCATATTCCCCTAGACTCCCTTACCCCCTCCACCCTTCCCTATTTCCCAAGACTTTGTTTCCATTTTTTTCTTTTCTCTTATTTTCTCTATTCCCTTTTTAACTTTCCCCTACCCCTCCCATTTGCAATATCTTTAGACATTTTCTTCCTATTACAAAATATTAATTATACATTTTGGCCCTTATTTACACTTTTAGTTTATCACACCAGAGAAACTATACATTTCCTATACCCCTCCTACTTCCCATACTCCTTTCGACCTTTTCTTCCTATTACACAATATCAATTATACATTTTAATCCTTATTTACACTTTTAGTTTTTCACATCAAAGGAAGTATTCAGTATTTACACAGTTGTGTCTTATTTATTTCACTTAATAGTATGGCCTCAATGTGCATCTATTTAGCCATAAATGTCTCTAGTTTTTTGTTCTTTATGGCTGAGTAGTATTCCATTTCATAGAAAAACCACATCTTCCTTATCCAGTATCCAGTTGATGGGCAATTGGGCTGTTTCCAAGTTTTAGCTATTACAAACTGTGCCACTATAAACAGGGACGAGCATATATCACTGTGGTATGATTCTTTTAATTCTTTTAGAAAGATACCCTGTGGAAGAATACCTGGGTCAAATAGGACTTCTAATCCTAATTGCTTGAGGTACCTCCATATTGATTTCCACAGTGGTTGCATCAGTCTGCACTCCTACCAATGAGGAAGAAGGATTTCTTTTTTCCAACACCCCCACCCTAGAATTTGGTTAATTTCTTGATAGCAGCCATTCTTTTTGGGGTGAGATGGAATCTCAGTGCTGTTTTCATCTGCATCTCTCGAGTGACCAGTGATGTTGAATGTTTTTTCATATATTTATTTTCTGCTTTTGCTTTTTTTGTCTGAGAAATATCTGTTCATTTCAGATGTCCATTTCTTAATTGGGTCTTTATATTTGGGGGGCCTGATTTTTTTTTGAGTTCTTTATGCATTCTACATAGTAGACCTTTTTCTGAGGAACAGCTGGTAAACATTTTTTTCCCACATTGTAGGTTGTCTCTTAGCTCTGTTGATGGTTTCTCTTGCAGTGCAAAAGCTTTTTAAAAAGATGAGATCCCAATTGTTAATTCTTTGTGCTAGTTCTCATGCTATGAATTAGTTCCCATTCATAAAGTCTTTTCCTATGCCAGTATCTTCAAGAGTTTTACCTAACTTATCTTCCAGCAAGTTTGGTGTTTCTGTTGTAATATTTAGAACTTTAATCCACTTCGATTTTAATTTAGTGCATGGTGAAAGATAGGGGTCTAGTTTTGATCTTTGGAAAGTTGAAATCCTGTTTTTCCGAAATAATTATTTAATAAATTAAAATGCATACAATTAAAATTAATAATTCATCAATAGAAATATTCTAAACAAATGTGGGTATTATATATCCACGTTTCTGTGTCTTTATGACAAAATTTGCATTATGCTCTTCATTAAATCTTACCTTTTACGTAAAGTGCACATAGTCCACCATATCACAAATCAGCATCAAATAACTAAATTGTAGTTTTGAATATTCAAAATGAATTATACTTTTAAGTATTATGGGTAATATTAATATCTGTGAACGGATTCAGAAAGAATAGAGAAATAAAATTATAGTAGAAGCTTACCAACAAACCTGGTGGTCCTGGAGGCCCAATTGGCCCAGGTATTCCCATTGGACCAGCTGGGCCCTGTAATAAATAGAATAAAGAAAAGGATGAAAGATGGAATAAAACACTAAAAGTGTAAGTAAGATCTAAATTGTATAACTGACAATGTGAAGTAGGAGGAAAAGGGCTAAAGGGGTAGGGGAAATGGGAGGGGTAGGGGAAAGGAAATAAGGGAAAAGAAAAAATATGAGAAAAGGAAAAAATGGACGCAAAGTCTTTGAAAATGGGAGAGGAAACGGGGAGAAGGGAAGGCAGGGGTATGGGGAAAAATGAGAACCAAGATCTGTCACGTAGAGCTTTTTCACTAAAAATCAGAAGAAAAAGGCTACTACTTTTAAGGAAGCTGCTCTAGTTTTAAAATAAGATTAAATACAAAAAGAGAACTGAGAAAAAGTGAGACAAGTGATAAGGGAATGATAAAAGTGGTATGGAACACAATTTGGCATCTTCACAAACTGAAAATTTGCCTCCCTTGTAAACCTGCAATTCTAAACCTAGGTATAAATTCTACATTATTTTATAATGAAACAAATTTTAATTATGTTCACAAATGGAAAGTCATATGGAAGTAAAAATGACTGAACTATGGCTATATACAATAATATGAATGAATCTTGTATCAAATAGAAAAGATAAGTTTCAGAAAGTTATATAAATATTATATTATTTTATAAAGCTAAATTAAATAATCTGTTGTTTAGAAACATGTGTAGAGAAGAAGCTATTTTTAAGAATCAGTAGAAAACTCAGGATTGTAGACATATCTCCCAGAAATGCAGAAGAATGTGACTGCTTAGAAGAACATGTTGATTCAAAACTATTTGTAGTGTTCTAATTCTTTTTTTTTTTTTGGTCCTGGAGATTGAACTGAGGACCTTGTACTTGCAAGGCAGACCCAGTGCCATTGAGCTAAATCCCTGGCCCATGTAGTGTCGTAATTCTTTAATGTTGTGTTGCATTTATATACGCTCATTTTATTTTTTCACATTCTCAAAAATAGATCTATTCCTCTTTGGAGTCATTATGAGTCCTCTGTATACTGGAACCCACTAGTCTATTTTCTGTAATTATAGTTTTGCCATTCCCAGGCCTCCACATGAATGTCAACACAAATTTTGTAGTCTTTGCTGTATAGTTTTTTTAATTTAGTGTTTGCACTCATTCATGTAGCAATATGTATCAGGAGGTAATTTTTTAAGTGCTATAAGTACTGCATAGTATAGATATTGCACAATTTATATATACTACAAGTACATCTGTTGATGAACATTTGCCAAACACAAAAGTTTCTATGGACACTGGTCAGCAAGATAAAAGAATACAAAGAGTTTATTCAAATTCTCTCTGGTCCAAAATGCTGTTATTTACAAAGAGAAGGTACATGCAAAGTCTATGAAACATGACATGATTTCTATGACTAAAATAGAGGGTACTAAGGTTTCAGAAGTTGCTATGATTTTATTTAATCATACAGTAAAGAAGAAAATCTCTGGATGCTTACTTGCATTCCAGGAGGACCTGGATATCCTGGGTTACCCTTTGGTCCTGACAGTGATGCCATAATTATACTACCTGGTTCCCCCTAAAAAAAATGCACACAAATAGATGTCTTAACAGTTATTAAACATAAAAATTGGTAAGAGCACACATAATGATTTGGCAGTTCAATTTGTCACAAAAGCATAGTGAAATATTAAAGCAGCTCAGTAACTTATTGAATAAATTTAACTTTTAAAGGAAAATAAGGAAGAAGTCAGAGTGTACTGGAGTATATAGATTTATCAAGAGCCTATAGGCATGATGGCAAACCTTTTAGAACTTTCAATGAAACAACAGCCCATTGCAGCATGTGTCCCACAAGTTCGACATCCTGGCTTATAGTATATTCCATTAATCATTCATTAAAATATTTAGTAAATATTAACTATTTGTCAAAAATTGTGTTAGACTCTGGATATTCAGTAATGAAGAAAATAAGGTCTTTGTTTCTTGGGAATAACAAAATAATGGGGAAATGCAAGTCATAATATGTAAACAAATAGTGTTATCATATTCTGTCAAGGACTATGAAGAAAAGCAACATTGTACAGTAAATGATAAAGACATAGTGGAAAAAAATCACTTTAGCATGGGTAGTCAAAGAAAGGCAATCTGTGAAAGTAATATTCAGTTTAAGACCTGAAGGACAAGGGGCCAGCCAGGGAAAGATAAGGGGGTAAGAGTGAAAGGCAGAGTATGCACAAATGACTCCAAAAGCGAAGAGCTTGGCACATTGATTGCAGACTAGTGTAAGCACTGAGCCAAGGAAAAGGTGGTTGAATATAAAGCTGTAAATCAGCAAGGACCAGTACATGTAGGTCTTACAAGTCATGGAAAAGAATGCAGACTTGATTTTAGACACACAGTGGGAAGCTTTCATTCATAAGCAGAGAGATTAAATTATTAATGTATATTCTGTAATAATCATTCTTCATTGCTTAATCAGGTGGGCTGTGGGGCATAGTGAGAAAAGACTAGTTAAGAGGTCACTGCAGTTATTCAGATGAGACATTATGACTAGTATGGCCCCTGGAGATGGAGAAAAGTATATGAATTTAAGATACATTTACAGAGCCAGACGTGGTGGCCCATGCCTGTAATCCCAGCACTCCGGAGGCTGAGGCAGGAGGATCGCTATGAGTTCAAGACCAGCCTGGGCTACATAGTGAGTTCCAGGTCAGCCTCAACTACATAGTGAGACCCTGTTTCAAAAACAAAACAAAACAAAACAAAACCAACAACAAAAAACCAAAAAACAAACAAACAAAAAAAAAAGATACATTTACAGGCAAGCTTAATAGTACTCCATGGTAGAACAGAATGAGTAAGTGTGTGAAATCATGAAAGATTAAAGATGTGAACAATAATTTTCAGGTTTTTAGTTTACAAAAGTGTACATAACATATAGTGATGAAAATTGGAGATAACAGGGTACCAGAGTGAAGAAAAGCTTTACTTAGGGTGGGCATTAATTTGAATATCTGGGAGATTTTTGTGTGACGATGTTAAGGGGGCAGGTGAACACATGCATCTAACTCAGAAAAGTCTGATCTGAAGATATAAATGAAGGCATTCAGTAATTCTATAGCCGTCAATATTATAGTCATTAATTTTTTGGCACAGAGGAAAGAAGGCGTCAGGACTATCTCTTGACGCTTGCTGGATAGACTAGAATGAGCTTTCACAGAAGACTACAGAATATTTAGAGATGCAGAAAAGGAGACTGTTATAGAAAAGATTACTTCTAAAGAGAACAGAATGATCAACTGTATCAAAATGTAGTAAGATGATGAATGGGGGGGTCAGAAAAAATTGGAGTTTGATGTACAGCATTGAGAATGTACTTAAAGCCACATGAACAGAGAAGATTACTTATGGAAAGCTTCTATGTGTATATCTGCACAATTTCCAGAAGTGTCTGTTTTGAGACAAAGTCCAAGTCATTAAAGCATCAGCCTTTTCAAATATATTATTGAAAATGTTTATATTCTCAGCATGAGATGCTTACCTTCATACCAGGGATCCCAGGAGCTCCCTATTATTAAAAAGAAAACAGATTATTTTATATATTTGAGAGGAGAACAACACAATACTCTCCAAACATGATAAAAACTGAGTAAACTAATGTAAGATCATTTCTAAATATTATATGTTTTGGAATACTTAGAGATAATAGTTATATTAAGTATTATAGAATCTTTGGTATTTCTCAGGAGACAGTTATCATACAATTTCTTTTTTAAAAATGTCTCTAGTTCACTACTTTAAAATATTCTATTTTATTCCACATGAATGCAATGAGCTCACTCTTTATGCTTCTGTTTCGTCCATTAATTCTTGTGTTCATTATAATCAAATTTTACAACTTACTGGAGGACCCTGTAAACCAGGAAAACCAGGACTGCCTGGAAATCCACGTTCTCCCTAAAGGAAGTGAAAAAACAGAGAAGAACATGAAACAAAGAACGCATCAACAAACAATGACTTTTTGGAAAGATTTCTATAAAAGCCATCTTGTTCCTATTTCACATTGTCAATTATCTCTTTAGGATCTTATGTACTATTACAGTCTTTCACACCAGAGAAACTATTTACATGTATGACTTATTCATTTCACTTAAGAGTATATCCTCAATATGTATCCATTTTCCTATGAATGAGTGTAATTTCTCATTCTTTATGGCTGAGTAGTATTCCATTTTATAGAAAAACCACATCTTCTTTATCCAGTTTCCAAGTGATGGGCAAATGGGAAGAAAAGGGCTAGAGATGCAAAGAAAGTGGGAAGGGTAGGGGAAGGATAATAAGGGAAAATAAAAAAAATATGAGAAAATGATAAAATGGAAATGAAGTGTTTGTAAAGAAGGAGTCGAAGAGGGGGCGAAGGGAGGGCAGGGATAAGAGGAAAAAATGAGAAGCAAGACCTGTCATGTAAAGGTACAGGATCCCAATGATGAATGTAACTGTACTGTATACCTAAAATGTACCAATAAACTCAATTTTAAAAAAGCCATTTTGAAATAAACCAGAATGTCAAAAGTTTATTTTTCACTTTCTAATTATTTCAAATATAAACTTTCCATACCAATTCAACCTAAGATATTTTTGTTCCTACTCATCCATCCTAATCAGAAATAAAGAAAAAAAATTTCTACACTAGTCATTTTCTTCTGACAAATCCATTTTGACACTATCACACCAGATTCTTGACTCTCATGACACTCAATAGTTAATGATTTGCCCCAATTTCCTATTTGTTACATAGATTATTATTTTAACTGTCCTATTATTTTTTTATTGTGAATTATTTCAAATTATTTTTGCAAAGAGGAAAAAATGGTTACAAAAAAGGGCATTAATATCAGCAGGAGAACAATAGCAATAGTTTTGGCAATTTCAGATCATTGTGTTTTCTAGGCACCCAATTTTCCTCACTTCCTATTATGGACATTTGGCTTAGAAGTTAAAAGCAAAAACTGCTGCAGAAAAAACCCCAATGCATCCTTCTTTCAAAAACCTATGTGCTACAGTAATCTTGGAAACAATCACATCAGAAGGTTTGAAAGAGCAAAATTACTCAGTCTGTGTGTTTTTGCATAATTGTTCAATACCCTTTGCCCTACCACTTTTTACATAAGAAAGAAGTTAGACCCAGAGAGGAAATAGTCTGTACATCAAATTTGAAAGACAGAAAAAAGAACCCATACATTGTATTTCCAACTATAGGGTTCATTATTTTCTTACACAGTGAGAGCTATAAGAAAATAATCTAATTTGAGAGTATAAGTAATAAACCCATTTAATTTTTTAAAAACTTGCTGCTCACATAACTGATGGCCAAAAACAAAACATAATCATCAGAGCTGCTAAGCAGTTGTTTTACAAAAGGAAAATTAATCCCTTTAATCACACAGCATTCTATGCATACTGCATCTATCTACATTTGAGCTTCGAATTTAAAACTTTCCCTAGTGATCCATTTGCTGCTTAAGGCATACTGACAAAAAAAAAAACCACATAAACAAATAAATAGAATAGGTACAAGAATATAAGCCACCTTGGGCCAGCCTGAGGTACATAGTGAGTTCAAGGTGATCCTGGACTACTCAGAAACTCTTGTCTCAAAACAAAATGAAACAAAACAAAACAAAACACATTTTAACATGAAATTTGTCATGCAAATTCCCATTGGTCCTACACTACAATTTGCCGCAGGTGAAATAAAGAACACAAATAAGTTTCACAAACGAAAACATTTAAATGAAACTTATTATTTTTGTTAAAGGTCCACAATGACCTGGTGAAATACCAAGATAAAGAGAACTATATTGTCTTCAAGTACATAGTACAGTTTTATGAGAAACATAGCCAATGTAACACAAAACAGTTTGTTAAAGTTACTTTAAATATGTGCCCTAATATAAAACTTGGCTTATGCCATTAGTTAGAAAGATATAGGTTGTTTCACAAAAAGTTTCACAGAATGTTATGGGCCAAATAGAAAATGCCGAAAGGATAATGAGATGAGAAAATGAAAAAAAAAAAAAAAA